TTTACCCTTTTTCACACTGATCATAAAATCAATTCAGATTTCACTCTGCCCTAAATTAATTGCACAAAAGCACAAAACTTATTTGTGTTGCTGTTGATGCTTGTACCTGACGTGAAACGAACTTTTTAACATCAAGTTTTTGTAAACTAATAAGAGATGACCTCAATGTATATTCTTGTGTTAACCGCTGTATTAACATTTGCGTAGTATTTAAATGAACATCAGCAGAATTGATATAATTCTCAATGTCGTCAATGTAGTCTTGAAAATCCGCATCGCAAAATTCTTGAGGCGGAAATTCTGCGAATCCGTTAGTACCTCTAAGTTCTTCGAAAATTTTCCACATATCATTTAATGACCAACCATAATCTGTTCTAGTTTCTCGTGCGTTTTTGATTTCATTTCCAAATTTTTTCAATCGACTGTTAGAATGAATAGTTGGAGTATATAATGGTGAAACAAAGAGTGTCTGAAATACTACTATAAACTCCTTGCAGAATGAAGTTATCAATTCTGATCGATCTTTAAAAGACTCAATACTTTTTAACATTTTATGTAGTTGACTGGTTTTGTTAGATTTCCATTCAGATGTATAATTCATAAGTTCTTCTGCAGCTTTTACAATATGTATATGTAATGTATGGAGTAATTTTTCCTGTAATTTCATCATTCCAACAGAATTTTCAAATTCAATTTGTTGTTTATCATTCATTTCAATCAGTTCAATGCCATGCTCTTTCCATTCATCTTTATTGCCGAGAAGAATTTTATGCATCTTTTCATTGTTTTTGTGCTCTGATTTCTCAAATGCATCCCATCCCTGCTCCAACAAATCTTCCCAACCTACGCTACTTGAAGCCGCGTAATGAAACTGCACACCATCTGGAAAATGATGAGGACTGGCTTGATGTTCAAATTTTGTGCGAAAATATTGGAGGATATCCCAGGAACTACAGCGAAGAGGTCCGAAATCATTATTAGAATTTTTTCCCTTATTTTTATTGTTACTATTTTTGTTTGTCCCTTGAATATCAAGATCACTACCAGTTAACTTTCTTATGAATTCTTTATTAGTTCTTATCTCTTGAGAAACTTCATTAATATTAAGTAGATCCATCCTTGTAACAAGGACAATTAGATTCTCACCATTAATTTTTTCAATTAAATCCATATGTCGAGGCCAAGATGGGTTTTCAAAAGCTCTTGTTGCTGAGATACACAACAGTACTATACTGTCATTTTGTGACTTTTGACGTTCTAACACCTTTTCTAATGTACGACGAGTAATACTATCAGTGATCATTTGTACGTTAGCATTGGTTGGGGTCAATCCCGGATTATCACAACAATCTATCGCAAAAGATGGAATGTTGGAGTGGATAATAATTCGTGCATCCTTTTTATCATCCAGATTACTGGCGTTAAGTGTTGTAAATTCAGTGGTTAGATCTTGTAAGGTGCCATTATGAACAAGCCTTTCTGTTTTTTCTGGATTATCATGTTCTATCAGCAAGTCATATTTTGCTTCTTTCAAATCAGGATCGTAACGATGATCAATCCAAGTTCTGATTTTAGTGACGGTATTATTACCCATTTGAAGTGCGACTTGTTTTATAATACTGTTTACGGTAGTAGACTTTGATGAACTCTGATCACCAATAAGAAATATACCACGAGTAGCTCCATCTACTCCTTTTGAATTTGGATTTTCTTTTAACAACAATTGTCCCAAACTAAATGCATGACGAAGGGGTTCACCTTCACCATGTTTCCATTGGTCCATGCGTTCGCAGAAGTCATCCATAGAATTACTTAATTTACTTTCATTCATCTTTCGATTTAATTTTTTTAAATTTTTTCCAAGTCTCCCGATCAAAATTTTAAAGAGTCGATATATATATTATATATTGAAAATACCATTTTTGGAATCAATCAGTAAACCTTAACGTTAAAGCATGTTTATCATTCTAAATTTGGCAGACAGAACTTAACAGTGCATTACATATTCTTTAACGTTAAAGTTACGCCATTCCAGATTCTTACAATATTATATGCAGCTATTTTATGCTTTTGTGCTTTTGTGCAATTAATTTAGGGCAGAGTGAAATCTGAATTGATTTTATGATCAGTGTGAAAAAGGGTAAA